ACACAGAGCTTATGTCATCATTCAAACTTCACATTGGTCCACAGGTGGATGAGAAGACTTCATAAGTGCTTGTTTTAGACAAGAAGCACGACTTCGTCTTGGCTTAAATGAGTTAGAAAGGCTTTCGTGGTCTCGAGTCAGTTAATTCACTTTACTTTGTTTGTGGCTCTGCGGCATGAGCACAAACACACGCGCACCCACACGCCATCTCTTCTACATCTTTGTGACGGTCTGTAACGAGAAACAATCCAATTAGCATGTGCACTCGTGAGTTGTTTGCCTGCTCGTCAGTCTATGTGACGTCACGTTGTGTTTACGGGACCCATTCGTTTCTATCTGTGTACATTTGGAAATGAATGCCTTCGAGTGATGACTTGTTTTACTGGCAGGATGACGTACAAACGTCGGGGCTAATATGCGCTGCGGTCATATGAGGCTAATAAATGCTCGGAAAAACGAGTCACCAATCTTTTCCATTGTATTCCGATCTATTTTTTTTATTCGAATACCAATATATTTCATAGCTGAAGCTCTATCTCATCGTCAAACAAAACAGTATTAGCTTAGCATGTTTGTCAGTCATGTTTTTTTATTGACTGAATTGCCCATTTCCTGTGTCAAATGCAACATACGCTTACATGTCGATCGGATTGACCTCCCCAAATGGATATGCAACAACCACCATCTTCATCATGTCATCTCCCTTATTTAAAAAAATCTAATAAAATTCCAGATGAATTCCTATCGGCTCCTTACGGATGGATTTGAATAAAAATGACATCGCAGAGGAGGGGCTTGGGGAGATATTCCTTCCAGGCTCCTCTCACATTTTATTAAAACGCCTTTCAAATGGCTCAATTGAGACGCAGAAAAACAGATAACCTGATTTTAATCACATTTTCGCTGCTTGGCACTGTTGATAAATGATTATAATTGGCAAAATGGCACTAGCATGAGGATGGGGATTTTTTTTTATTTTTTTATTACACAACGCTCTATCAAGTTTTAATAGATGAGGTGGTTAAATTTGATCCACATGGATGCATGGTTGGACTTTTCTATTGGCAACCACGGGCATTTGTCTGGGGCCCCAAGGTTTCCAGGGGCCCCCAAAAATCTAATGAAAACTATTTATCCATCTCACGGGGTGGCCATTTTGCTTTGTACTGCCACGTGCTGTCAACTGAAAATGGCATCCCAGCTACTAAAAGCTCGGGTTGCAAACATTATATGACCAAACCCAGAAAAAGGTGAATCGTCACTTGAGGTACAGTTGAAAATGACTCTTTAATCACAGAATACATTGACGCCGCCGAAATAGTCAACAATATTAAATGAAGATTAAAGTTAAATACGCCTCCAAAGCACAATTCAGCAGTCATCGAGGTATGCACTCAAGTGAATACACCTAATTTATGGATTTATATTTGAAGGCAGACAACGGAAGCGCCCGTGTGACCGTTTCAACACAAGCTTGGAGAAGCTGTGAATTTCTAAGAGATGCCATCAATGGAGCTTTTGATGCACGACTGGCATGGCAGCATTTAATGATGGTGGCCGGATGACAAACAGCCCGGCTTCTGATGGAGGGACATGATGGAGGACCAATGAAAATGATGACTTGACAAGATGAAGGATGGGGGAGGAAATTTTTCTTAGAAAGTAACTGTCGACTGTTAGCATACGTCCCCAAATACTGGTTGCTGTCCGCAGGCCATTTGGGTACACAAAGACAAAAATATTAATTGGTCAGAGTCACCAAGTTTTATTTTAAAAATCAAGTGCAAACCACTAGTCCATTTTTTTTTTTTTGTCTTGAGTAGCAATCAAAA